ATATGCATACACACACACACACACACATATATATATATATATATATATATATATATATATATATATATATATATATATATATATATATATATATACACACACACACAAACACATATATATATATATATATATATATATATATTATATATATATATATATATATATATATATATATATATATATATATATATATATATATACTTATATACACATACACAAATATATATATGCACATATAAATGTATAAAAACATACACATACAGACATACACATCCATGCATACATATACACTCACACTTATTCACATGCACTTATCACAAACACTTATACACATATCTTTGGATTTATTAACTGTATTTGATTAGAAAGGAATGGAATAGGTTACTCATAAAAACATAGATTGAATAAAGAGCTTTTAGGTCATGGGGAAGGTTATTCCAAGATTTTATACTTTGGTTTTTTATGGACTTACATCCGTAAGTAACAGAATGATGTTTTAAGACTGCAAGATTCCGATTATCAATTGATCGAAGAAAGTATTGGTTATTTGCATTTTTTGGGAAGAAATTGTTGAAGGTAAGAGGTAAATTTTTGTATTGGTGATTCCATACAAACTGGCACTTCAAAAATTGAACAAGGTCACATAGTTTAAGGATCTTAGAAGTAAGATAAAGCACATTAGGACTGAATTTGTAATTCTGAAAATGTATTAAATTTAGAGCTTTGTTTTGAAGATGGGATATCCTTAAAACTGCTTGCTGTTGAGATTGTCCCCATATTTGACAAGCATATCATATATGTGAGCCAAAAATGGCATGATATATATTTATTTGTGTTTCCAGATTGACCAGATAGGTAAACCATTTAAGAGGTGTACCTCTGATTCCATAATATTCAAATTTCTTGAGGATAGAATGATCTACTGTATTAAAAATCTTATGCATAGCTTTTTCAAAGAGTTTGCTTAGGTTTGAAAGAAGAGAGATAGATTGGTAGTTAGAAAAAAGTATATTTATTGAAGAACCTTTGTAGAACCGTTTTGAAATGAGTTATTTATAATAATACTGAGAGGTTTAGAAATTATGTCTGGAATAAGTTTAAAAAGAAATGTAGGAAAGCTATTAGGACCAAAATATTTTTCAGTTCTAAGGGTGGTTTTAATAAGATTAGAGATTTCATTCTCTGTGACAGGATCAATAAAGAACGAATTAGAATTTAGAAAGTTGATATAGTCACTTAATTTGGATGTTGAAGGTATGATTTTGTTTTGAAGTTTGTTTTGGATAGTAACAAAAAAGTTATTTAATATATTCGATACAGTAGTTTGATTTGTGATAATATTTTCTTTCAATTTAAGTTTGAGAGTTGAACTATTGGAGGAAGGTTTTATGTTAATGGTTTCTATTATCCGTTTCCAAGTATTCTTAATATTGTTTGAGTTTTTACTAAAATAGGTTGTGTAATAAAATTTTTTACTAATTTTTAGTAGATTGCTGATTCTGTTTCTATAAAATTTAAATTTAGAAAACAGTTTCTTTTTAGTACTAATATCTTAACAATTTGTGCATTTTTTATATAGTCTGTTTTTAATGGAAATAGATTTAAGTATGCCATTGGTGATCCATGGTTTTGATTTAAGATTAATTTGCTGCTTAGTTAGTTTTTTGTATGGAGCATGCTGATCTAATTTTTCAAATGTCTATAAAAGAAAACTGATAGATAAATTTACATCATCATCTTTTTTAATATAGAGATCCCAGTTAATGTTGGAAACATCTTCAATAAATATATTTTTGTTAAAGGTCTTGAAGCATCACCTGTAAGATATACTTTTTTTAGGGTGGTTAGTTTTTCTAGGAATGCAGATAAATTGAGCCATATGATCAGATATTGAAATAGTAATATTGCCAGAGATTTGGTCAGGTGAATTAAAGTTTATAAAAATGTTATCAATAAGTGTTTGTGATTTAGCTGTTAGCGTGTTGGTAGAATTATAACAGGATGTAATGAAAAAGAAATAAGCGAGTCAAGGTAGCTAGAATTAGGATTTAATTCATTATATTTTAGTATATCCATATTAAAATCCCCCATAAGAAAATACTTTTTTTTTCAGTATTTAACTTATTTAACAGTGGAGTTGAATAATTATTAGTGAAATTGTCATAATTTATCGATGGATGTCGATATATGCAACCAATTATTATGTTTTTTAAGTGAGGCTTTATAGTTTCAACAAAAATGGATTCAAGATATTTGGAAGAGTAGATCCTTAGGTCATTGCGAACTATGTAGTTTAAATTAGAGTTTAGATATAGAAGAGCACCCCCTTTTTTAGCCTCAGTGGGGCAATGCTCAATGTTAAAACAATTTATAGATATGCTTGTTATTTTGTCATTTCCAAATTTGACTCAGTAATACCTATTGCCATAGGTAATGTATTAAGAGTGCTAATAAAGCTGCAGAGATCATCAATGTGATATGGTAAAGAAGCAATGTTGAGATGAATATAAAGATTTGAATTAGGATTAATTTTTTTGAAATCTATGGTGTCATAGTATTTACAATTAACTGAACCTTGGGAATTATTTAGATCTGGAATTGAATTTCGTGGACTTGATGTAATGTCAAGAGAATATAGTAAGCTAGTATTCTTGTGCGATAATGTTTGATCGAGCTTAAGGTCAGAAAGAGAATCAAATTGATAAATTTGGTTCTCAATAATAAATTGAATAATAATAAAGAAAAAAGAAATAAATTGAATAATAATAAAGAAAGATAATTTTGAAATTGAATTCAGAGAATGAGGAGGGCAGTAATGAAGATGATGATGATAATGATTTATCATTTATAATGAAGATGATGATGATGATTTATCATTTATAATGAAGATGATGATGATGATTTATCATTTATAATGAAGATGATGATGATGATTTATCATTTATAATGAAGATGATGATGATGATTTATCATTTATAATGAAGATGATGATGATGATTTATCATTTATAATGAAGATGATGATGATGATTTATCATTTATAATGAAGATGATGATGATGATTTATCATTTATAATGAAGATGATGATGATGATTTATCATTTATAATGAAGATGATGATGATGATTTATACAATGAAAATATGAGTTTGTATGACATTTTGGACAAAAACATTCATGAACAAGAAGAGAGTGACTTACTTGTTTGGTTACCACAACATTTTAGATGTGATAGTTTTACACTGAACTTAATAGCAAAAAATGATGTTGAGAAAATGGTACAGAATTCACCTTGTAATTTTAAGAAACTTTATAGGAAAGCAATGGGCAAGTGTTCATCATTATGGAGTAAACAAAATATGTCTAATAGAGTTGCAGATAAAAATTCACAATATGCTAGATGATTATTTAAAAACACCTAATAAAACAAGATGGAACTGTACCTATGATCGCTTATTACAAATTAAAAGTATTTTTTCAGACTCTAATAGACATAACAAAATGAGCAATATAATGGATTTCTGTGAAGTAAAATGATTCACAAATCAAGAAATTCAAATAATTCAAGAATACTGTGAGGTTTTTACAAAGAGAAGAATCAATGTTTATAGTGTATTTATTACCTACACCTTATGCTTTAGATAAAAAAACTAACTACTTTGCAACAAAAAAAACTTTTGTGGCCCACTTTTCAACACAGTAAAATATTCAGTTCAAACTTGATTTATATGGGATACCTCTATATGGGATAAAAAATGACTAATATTAGCATCGTGTTTGTTGCCTCGTTTTAAATTATTATGGCTTGATGGTATCAAACATTTTACAGCTGAAGCCTTGTTGAAATCTTTATTTGAAAATGTGGATCATAGGCCTAGTTCAGCAGCTTGTGAAATGGAATCTTCTTCACGTACAATTACATGTACATCTAAAGAAGACTTTTTTTGTTTACCTGTAGAAAGCAACAGTTACAAGTTCAGGTATTGAAGAATTAGAATTATATTTAAAATCACAGTCAAGAGATTTATGTTTTACTATTATACCCAGCAGTATTAAAAGTCTTTTTAGAACTTAACACACCTCTTCCCATTGGTCGAGCAACTATTTTCAACAGGGTCTAATGTGATTACTGAAAAAAGATATTAATTGGGTAATTTGTTATTTGAAAAATTAGTTTTATTAAAACAAAATAAAGGTGAAGTTTAAAATATTTGTTTTCTTCGTATATATTACTGTTTTCTTATAGCATTTTGCTTATGCTTTTGAACTGAAATTAATATATATCTTATATATGTATAAAGTTACGTGCATAGGCAGACTAGGCCGGCAAGAGAGCAAAATATTCAGAAAACTATTTAAAAATAATAACAAAAATAAACCTGATATAATGAATTTATTCCCATTTTGTCGCTAATGTAATAACGTTTATTTGAATATGGATAAAAATCATATTAATAATATTTAAAAACTTGATTTTACTTTTGATAAATTTAATTTTTTTTTTTCCCTTGTAAAATTATAATTAAGGTTTTTAAAAAAAAAAACCTTTTTTGACCTAAAAAAAAGGGAAAACTGAAATAAAATATAATTAAACTTTCAACAAAAATACTCATTTTTATTGACATTTTTTTTTAATGAATAAACCAATAAGTCGAAAATTTCTTTTGCAAAAAACAACATAGCATTAAAAATAAACTTAACTGTTAAAAATGTTAAAAACTTTTTTTCTAATAACTTGATAAATAAATTATTTTAGTAAGTTTGAATAACTTTTTATTTATTATCTAAGGTTTATTTAAGATATGAACTCAACTTCTCTAGGCACTGGGAAATCTCTTTATGTTATGTGTAGTTAAAGGTATGAATGTTTGCTTTAGGGGTTTTTGTGAAGTTAAAAGTACATATGTTTGCTTTAAGGTGTTGTGTGAAGTTATAAGTATAAATGTTTGCTTTAAGGTGTTGTGTGGAGTTAGAAGTATCAATATTTGCTCAAAAATCATACCTCAGCTATACATCTTATGATTTCATACCAAATTCTTTGTGAATTATAACCTGTATAAAAATAAGACCAAGTTATAAACATATAGTTTGGCTAATAATTTGACTAGAGATCCAAAATAGACACCTGCGGAGGTTTGAGTACATATACTAACTGTGGGTTTGTATTAGCACAATCTAAGCATATAGGTGTATGAAAGTGTACATACATTGACAGACATAGCCATAGACACTGTTGTGTCACTGAGTGTACATACATCAATCAGTTGATGTATGTACACTGAGTGTACATACATCAACTGATTAAGGGATTGGCACAGTAAGCATATATATTGACTGATTCACATCTGATATCAATTCAGGGTTTGGTTTGGACAATCACTTTCTAAATTTAAAAAAACAAATAACCAATCTAACGGCACAGTTTTTAAAACTGATTTCAAGGTATCCTTAGGCAAACAAAAAAAAAACAACACCAAATTATAAATAAAACTTAAACTACTGTGATTTTAGAAGCATAAGCAACACCAAATAATAAAAAGCATACCAATACTGCTGAGATAGGTAAACAGAGAGTCATGCACTGTCATTTTAAATTGGTTGTAATATGATTGTAATGAAGGCATCTAAAAAAGGAAAACAGCTAGTATCTAAGTACACTAAAAAAATATAAATTACTTATTTTTTTGACACCAAAGTCTAGATTTAATAAAGAAAAATTTGGATGTTTTCCTATATTGCAAGAAAATGATAACCGAAACAAATTAGAACAATACTTACTTCTGAGATTGGTATGTAGTCATCTCCAACAACATAACTTTCAGTATCTTCAGGATTAAAAGGATAATAATCATGCTTACAAAATCTAAAAAATCAAAAACAATAACCAGATAAATAATCAAATTAGATTTAGGAGTAAAAGCCAAAAAAAAAAAAAAATAAATAAATGCAAATTTAACAAATACAGAAAATACCTGACAAGAATTTCAGATTTATAGGCATATGCAAGTAGTGGTTCAACTGATGTTATTACAACATAAACACCAATATCGAACTTTCTAAAATTACAACTAACCTTAAAAAAATTGATACAAAAAACCGAATCAAAAAAAAAATTTATCTGAAAATTTTATTTAAATTCCTCTATTTCTAAATAAAAACATGTAAATATATATATTACACACACCCACAAACCTACACACACACACACACACACACACACACACACACACACACACACACACACACACACACACACACACACACACAAATTCAGTTTTATTTTTTTAAAGTTGTTTTTCTTTTCAATTTTGTTTGAAATCATTGCATAATTTTATAACAAATCTTGATATAAAGGTTTTAATTTTACATTTAAAAAAAAATTGTTTTAATAATTTTGATAATCATCAAAAGAAATTAAAAGAGCAATTAACTTTATACTTTCCATCAACAAGAAGTGGTTGGTCTACAAATTCTTGAACAAAGGTGTTTGTTGATTGGGAATCCACATCTGAAATATGCAAACAAAATTAAAAAAAAAAGATTGTCTGCAACAGTTGTCTCAAACGGTAAAAGTATAACTTGAGCTGTTTGCAGTTTTTATCTTTAAGTAAACACAGATATATTGTTACAACAAAGAACAATGCCAAAAAGTACCTTTTGTTTGAATGATTTTGATACCTCTATGATTATTGCTTTTTTGTACCCAAGACTTATTTGGAAAGTTTTGAACCTAAAATTATTTATATATTTTAATTAAATTATTTAAATATTATATGCGGTAGTGGTGTAGTGGTAAGAGCACTCACTTTGTAAGCGAGCGGTTCGGAGTTCGACTCCCACCACGTCCCTGGAAGTACTGCGCTCAACTTAATTTCTCTGCGCAGCGGTCTTGCTTGTCAAGGTTCGTGTTTCGGAGTTAAAGAGTTGAGAGAGGGTTGTACCACGATTTACAAAAAAAAAAAAAAAATGAGTAGCCTTTTCGACTGTAGTGGCCCCCTCGGGCCTTATGTTAAAAAATATTTAAACATAGTTTTATAAATTATTAAAGTCCAAGTAAACTCATTTTGAGAAAACAACAAAAAACTAAACTACTCTTAGTTCCACATCAACAGAAATAATTTTTTTTTGTCCATTTTTAGGAACAAAAATTTCTCAATTGGTCTATTATTTAAACAGATGATAGATTTGAGTATTTAGAATGTGTAAACAGATTTAACTCAAAATTTTTAGGGTTAGCTCAAGACTCTTAAACATCAAATGGGTCCATATAGTTTTCAAAAAAAAAGTTCTTCAAAACTATAACATGTTGGTTCTCAAAAGAAGCGAAATTATATAAAAATTTCAAAAATAAGCATAATTTTATTTCAAAATTATAGTTTTAGATTTTATTATAATTTAATTTTTATTTCACTTTCTAGAAAATGACACTTTTTAACTGAAAATGAAGTATATCCATTTTTACAAAAAAAATTTATTATAATTTTTTTTTTTTTAATGTTTTTAAAATAATGATCATTTTTGAAATTTTTTATAATTTCGCTTTTTTTGAGTACCAACATGATATACTTTTGAAAACCTTTTTTTTTTTAATTCTCGTCTGATGTTTATAGATCTTGATCTTTTTTTTTTAACTTTTTTGTTAAAATTAGGAAATAAAATTTCGGTTTCAAATGCGCTAGTATTTAACTAATTTTTCTTTTTTGTTCAGGACAATAAAATGAATTAAAAAGTCAACTTTGGTTTGTTGGCAATTAAGAGGCAATTTGTTGGCAATTATTTTTAATAAAAAATGAACTAAAGTAAAAATTTCAATCTTAATAAAAATTGCACTAATTTATTTTTTGAATGAATGAATTTTTTAACTTCAGCTCGCTATTTCATTAAACATTTAGAAAACCAAAAAACAAAACGAAAACTTGAAAAAGTTACTAAATGTACTAAATGTACTAATAATAGTACAGGTTTAAACGATTAGTTTTGAAGAAATATATTTGAATATATAACTATTTAAATACTTAAAAATTTAATCGGCATATTTAAATATCTAGTAAATAAAAAATTTATTTAAATACAAAATTATTATTATTTTTTTAATTTACAAATATACATTAAATATCTACGTAATGTTTGTATTTGTAAATTAAAAAAAAAATTTTGTATTTATAAATATTGGCTAATAATTAATAATATTATAATATTATTTATTTATCTTCTTTTATGTTTTACACTAAAAGAAGATAAATAAATAATATTATAATATTATTTATTTATCTTAATAATATTTACTTTGTAACTTTCCTAACTTAAGATAAACAGCAAAAACCTAAATAAAGAGTTTTTGAATAATAAAAATAAATTAATAAAACAATTTATGAAACATATTGAAAAATCTGAACTCGAGAATAAGTGACGTCAATAAACTTTTTACTATGATCTTATAAACCTTTGGAAATTTTAAACCAATTGGGAATACTGCGTTATACGCAGTGCCATCAGGCTGGGTAACACCCTGATATATATATATATATATATATATATATATATATATATATATATATATATATATATATATATATATATATATATATATATATATATATATATATACAGTATGGGCCAAAAAAAACCGGCCAAGGTTTTTTTGCAGAAAAATTTACATTTTTTTGGGTTTTAAAAGCATTTCTCAGATATTTAAACTAATATCTCAACTTTTTGCATATTTCTTGTTTATTTAAATGTCTTATATCTCATTTCTTATATTAAAAAAGAGTTTCATATTGCGTCTAAGTTAACTTTTTTCTTCTTTTCTCAACAATTTCTTATTTAGGCTCTAATTTGTCATAGTTGTGGTTAAATAACTCTTAAATTATTTGATTATTTTGTAATAAAATATAAATTGTAGATAAACAGGGTTAACCTTACCCTAACCCTGTATATAAAAAAAAATCTAAGATGTATTTATTAATGATGAAATATGCTAATTTATTACATTTTAGAATAGATAAATATATAATATATAAAAATGGTTTTAAATGACATTAGTAAAGGAAGAATTATTGAGATGTCATCCTTTGGTATGACTCATAAAGATATTGCAAGCAAGGTTGGATGCGGAAAAAGTACTGTTACTGATTTTCTAAAGAAGTATAAGGAGACAGGAGAAAGAGTCCGTCAATCTGGATCAGGAAGAAAGAGAAAAACTACTAAATGAGAAGATAGACGCATTGTCCAAGCTGCCCTTAAAAATCGCCGTTACCAATATTTCTGGAAAAACCATAATTCGTCATTTACATGAGTGTAAAAATTTAGATTCTCATTGGGCTATCAAAAAACCTCTTTTACCAAAGATCAACATTGCACATAGGCTTCAATGGTGCAGTGAGCATAAAGACTGGACTATTACCCAATGGAGACAAATTGTTTGGTCAGATGAGTCTACTTTTAGCTTTAGATGCAATCAAAGATTTCGTGTTTGGAGGTGTAGTAATGAAAAGTATCACCATGAATGTATAAAAGCCACAGTTAGGCATCAAAAAAAAAATTAACGTATGGGGATGCTTTGCCGCGCATGCTACAAGAAGGATTCACAACATTAAAGAAAATATGGATCAATACCAGTACCATATTACCCTTGTTCATAATGCAAAGCCAAGTTGCTTGGAATTATTTTCAGATGGTAACTATGGTAACTATCTATTTCAACAAGATAATGATCCTAAGCACACTGCAAAATATAATAAAGAATATATTGAAAAAAATATGCTAACTCTGAAATGGTTACCTAGCCAATCTCCCGACCTAAATCCAATTGAAAACCTATGGTCCATACTCAATAATAAAATTAAAAGAAAAATGTGTAATGATGAAGTTTGTCTTTTCAATTGCGTAAAAGAGGCATGGAATAGCTTAGAACCATTTTTATTAACAAATCTTGTTGACAGTATGCCTAAAAGAATCAAAGCAGTCTTAGCTGCAAAAGGTGCTATGACCAAGTACTAGATTTTGAGATTTTGTTTCAAATAATATGACTCTTTCAAGATAATAATAGAATACAACAATTCTGCCAACAATTATTTTGTACTATGTATATTCGGTAATACTTTTGTATTTATTAAATCATCATTATATTATAAAATGTTTCTTTTAATGCTTTAATTTTTGATATTTATATATTGATACTTTAAATAAAATCACTCATTAAATTTGTTTCAGTTCATTTTACATAGAAATTTTGTAAAAAAACCACATAAAATTTCTTGGCTGGTTTTTTTTGGCCCATACTGTATATACATGTAAGCGACCAAGATTGATATATGACCAGGGCTTGTGGGTTTGTGATCTGGGCTGCATAAATATTTATACATCCTAAAGTTTTTTTTTTAAATTCAAAATTCATGTTATATATAAACATCATTATGATCATTATGATCAATATGATCACCATAATCATCATTATCATCATCAATATTTTTTAAAACATTATTTTTAAAAACATTGTTATTGGAGCTTTGGATCAAACAAATCTAAAATGATTACCTTAAAAGATTGGGAAAAAGACTTTGATTTTTTGATGTATATGTATATGTATATGTATATGTATATGTATATATATATATATATATATATATATATATATATATATATATATATATATATATATATATATATATATATATATATATATATATATATATATATGTATATATATATATATACATATATATATATATATATATATATATATATATATATATATATATATATATATATATATATATATATATATATATATATATATATATATATATATATATATATATATATATATATACATTTATATATATATATATATATATATATATATATATATATATATATATATATATATATATATATATATATATATATATATATATATATATATATATATATATATATATATATATACATTTATATATATATATATATATATATATATATATATATATATATATATATATATATATATATATATGTATATGTATGTATATATATATATATATGTATATGTATGTATATATATATATATATATATATATATATATATATATATATATATATATATATATATATATATATATATATATAAACTTTCAGCTTTAGACAAATATCTCAAAAAAATAATTTATAAATGTATTTTTAAGGGTCAGAGTTTGCAGTTAGGTATCGGATTCAAATTCAAATTATTAGAACCATTAAAATTTTTTGAGTTATTGATTTAAAGCCAATTGCAAGGGAGCAGCCGCTGTAGCTAGCTCCTTGTTTTCATTCTTCTTTTGTTTTAATGGTTTTTTACAAGAACTCTTTATTTGAAGTAGCTTCTAAAGCTTCTCCAAGCTCATCATACACTCTACATTATCTTGAATAAATTGTACTGTAAGCACAGCAAAACTGATTTACTTATTATGAAATATTTTTACTTGAATGAGAAATACATTTCTTGTTTTAAAAAAAAAATAACTCACTCTTCAATTTATTTTTTAAAACAAGAAATTTATTTCTCATTTTAACAAACATATTTCCTACTTAGCAACTTATTTTTTTAAACAATAAAATATATTTCTTGCTTTGACGAATAAATTTCTTAAACTATGGTCACCAGATCTATGATTTTGCTGTGAATTCTGATGAGTTGTTAGCAACTTTGAAAGATTTTAAAAGATTTGAAATTCATTGTATCCAAAAAGTCTGAGGGAGTCTCATCCACAGTCATTTTTTTAAACTATGACCTAGAACATCAAAAATTATCCTGAAGTCTGGTGAAATATAAAACTCAAGACCTTGTATTTGTTTTTACATCTTTTCAGAACTTCCTTTGAATTGAATAAAGAACTTTTACCATTTCTATATACCTGTCAGAAAATGCTAACACTAGCACCATGGTTAATGGATCCAAACACCTCATATGTCATTTTGTTATGATTTAAAATTTCACCTCTGCAGCAGACTTATATTAAATATAATGGCTTAGTCTTGTTGATCATAAAGTTTTAAATTAAAAATAAAATAATGTATATAAAATAAGGTTTAAAACGACACTGCTAAAAACTTATTACATTTATTTTTGACAAGATAAAATCAAAGTGCAATTTCTATTGATTTCATTTCTATTATATTTCTACTGATTTTAAGAAAATCCTGCTAGTGAAGGAAAAAATTGGTTTAGAGTTATTTTTTTGTTTTTTTTACATCAAAAATTATTTTAAACATTTTGGAAATCGTTGTTTTTAAACAATTTGTTACTTTTATGACATATATTGCTCTTAAATAGTAAGATTGAAATATCAAAAATTATAAATCTAATTTTACTTTAAAAAATGCAACATCAGAATAGTGGCAGGTCAAAAACCATGATGCCAAGTAAAGAGGAATGTAGTAAAGAGGAATCTATCTCTTTGAATATTTTTATACTCAGAATAAGAATCTGATTTTAGGGGAATTCAACTTGAATTTTATGTATCAAAATGTATTTGCCAAAAACCTGGTGTGTGAAATAGCTCCGTTTAGGTTAATTTTCCGCAAGTTAACAATAAATCTTTTAATTAGCCAGTGCTTAAAGTGATTGAACTGTCTGAGATCAAAAGAATCTAATTGCTGTGTATACGAGCTTAACGCTATCGTGTTTAAAAATCATGTTTTTTTTTAATTTTATAACCAATATGTGCATTTTAAAATACTACCAGTTAACAAATATAATAACAATAAAAATGCACACAATCGTTTGAAAATGCCTTTAAAAACTGTAAAAATGCCTTTAAAAAATGTAAAAAACTTTAAAAGAGTGGCTTTAAGTATAAATAGTCATCCAAAATAAAAAATAAAAAAAATTTATTAAGAAAAAAATACCTTAGGGAAATTTTATGATACTCTGTGAATTAAAATTTCAAAATGGGATTGGCTGATATATATATATATATATATATATATATATATATATATATATATATATATATATATATATATATATATATATATATATATATATATATATACCATTGCATGGTCAAATTTAATTTTTACCATAAAATGTAACCTTAACAATTTTTTTAATTAATTTAGAAGACTGAAAAAAAGTTTTAAAAATTTGCATTTTCTATCTCTTTGTCAGTCGTTGTAGCAGCACTTCTTGCATGTTCTACCTATTTTTCAGTCAATGTAGTAGCACTCCTCTCATGTTCTACCTATTTGTCAGTTGATGTATGTAAATAGTGATTTACATACATCAACTAGTCATAGCCTTTGTTTATATACATATAATTTATAACACTAACCCTCAACTCAAATTGGTCTTTATCTTCAGGTAATACAAAAGCTTCAGGAATCCATTGTTTCTTTAATGAAGCTAAGTAAACTTTTAATGTTAAGTAACCAATACCTGGCATGTGATTAACCTAAACTATTAAAATATTAATTAATTATTTTTTTTAATAACAAATTTTTTAAAATTTCAACAGAACTATAAATAAATTTTTATTTTTTGAAATAATAATAATGACCTTTTGATGTGGTTGAAGCTTTTGAAGTAAGTCATTAAAATTATTTAAAAAAGGAAAAGTATATGACCACATTACATCCCATTTTTTTGGTGGTGTTATTCCTGCTATTGCAACATAACCAGTTTGCTCAAAAATATTGATCACATGTTGAAGATGGGTTGTCTAAAATAAAATATTAATCAAACCAATTGCAATAAGGTTTGTCAATACTCTTATTAACAAACATTTTCAAAACTGTTATTAGATAATAGCATTAAAGCAATAAAGCCACATTAAAAATGACAACAATATATAGTAAATTTGCATACAAATATTTCATTATACATAAAACTTTTTTGTAGATAAATTTTAAAATTAATGCTCAACAGCTCTGAAAACTAACATTCTTCCATTTAAAATAATTATTAAAAAAACAGATATACATTTTCAGCCCATGAAATCTGATAGATTTCAGGTTGGCATAAGAGTGCGATACTTAGCTGACATCAGGTCAGCAAAATTTTGCTTTTGATTTTTTGCATCCTGTTACAAAGGGTTAATGATTAATGGTTATAATATAATTGATTTATACACAGTAATATTTAGACTAATATTTTACTTTAGACAGTAAACTTTTAAAGAATGTAGCAATTAAACTTTAAGTATTTAGCAAGTATATGATATTACTATATAATGTGTTTATGTGCATCATTGACAATGCAATTTTTAAGCCGTTTAGCCTTTTTATATAAGATCCCAGTGTTGTTTGAACTTTAACATTGTAAAAAGTAACTTCTCTTAAATCAGATATAAACCACCATTTTTTAATAACTGTTCTTTTAGGCATATTACAGCTTGTAACAGAAGAGTTTGTATGTGTACCTAATAGAAGAGTTTGTATTAGAGTTTCTAATTTTTAATCTAAAAAACATTAACTTGATTTAAAATTAACTTTAATTAAAAAAAAAAATTTAATGTTTTTTAAATGTTTCTTCTCCACATGTATTTATCGTAATAAAATATTTCTTTTCTACATGTGTTTATCATGATAACATGTTTCTTCTCCACATGTGTTTATAATAACTTAACTATACTAAATCTAAACTTTCTAATTAAACTTTCAGATCTTAAATAATATTAAAATGTAAATTCACCTAATTAAAGAGATTAAAATTAGATTTTAAAACTTAATATAATATAAAAATTAGATTTTAAAACTTAATATAATATTCTTGCTCAAATTTTAAGTAAAAAAACATGACAGGCTTTGTTAAGAAGCATTACGCTGCTCCCATTTTAAGTGTAAAAAGGCGTATTGCCAATGTTTTCAGCAATTTTATGTTATGCAAAAATTTATATCTTTTGGAATATTTAAATTATTTTTAGATATCGCTTATGTGATGTTTTATCTAGAAGATGTTAAGTCTTTTTTTTTTAATTTTTTTAGAATTAAGTTTTATTTAGAGGATATTAAGTAAAATCGTTTAACCAAAATTGTGAACTAATTGATTTTTAGTTAAAGAAACAGTTTGTTTAATAATGTTTTTTTTATTAAAAATAAATTCAAGAAAATAAAGAGGATTAAGTTTAAACTTTTCATCATATTCAATTTTCAGTTACTTTCATTCACAACATATGTTCATTTTACGTGTAACAATTTTTGTTTATTTATGTATAGTTTTACAACAACTAATTTTTTTTTATCCCATTAAGAAAGTATTTATGATTAACTGTTTATTAAAGTATTTCCTGACCATCATTTGGCAAGAACCAGGGACAATTCCACAGGTAGTGTGAGAAAGAAGTTGTTTCCTATGCCCCTCCCCCCTCTTTAAGAAGAGGGAAGAGTCAACATTAGATTTAGAATTGGTTTTTTTCAAGAATATAGTCAGTGGACTTTGAGCGTTAAGGACTTTTTGCTTTTTCATAAGACATTCATCACTTTTAAAGAACTCATCCTCCCCATTTCATTCCTAAAATTGCCTCTGGCTAGACCTGTATGCAATTATATTTAGAGAACTTAGTTTTCACCTTTTTAGAATTTTTACCAAATTAAGAATGTCGATTAGAAATAGTAAGAATGATAGAAATAACATTGATTAGAAGTGAATAACTAGTTTATGGGTAGTAGACATGATTAGAAGTGATGAACTAGTTTATGGGTAGTAGACATGATTAGAAGTAATGAACTAGTTTATGGGTAGTAGACAAATATTTTACCAATACTTTAATTACCTTCTAAATGATATTTATAGAAAGATATTTATACAAAAATTTAATATTTATGATAAATACTTGATAGAATTTAGCATAATTAATTTTTTCTTATTTCTACAAATGTTTTTGCTGTAAATACAATCATTTTATAGATCTTTCTTCAGTAACGAGAACTATTACATTGCTCACAACTAAAATCTTACTTAGTTAATAACTAACGGAAACTTATATGCAAGCCTCACTTAGAAAAAAACTAAAGACGCATGTAAGAGATACACTATTTATACTTTAAAGTAAAATAACTACACTTAGTAAGGCTGGACATTTAATGAGCATTAAATTTGTTTCTTGACTAAAACTGCTTAAAATATAATGGCAACATGTTTATAATAAAGCAGAATAAACTTCTAGCTAAATGTAGTAATTTGTATTTCCTTACAACACTTTTTTAAATATATAATTTATCAAACAGATAACATTTTGAATAAATTGAAAACTTTTGGAAAATGGAATCTTTCAGATTTTTTGTACAAAATCTGTTGAAGAGAATGGAATTACGTAAGTAAAAATCTTCTGTAATGTATGTGTGCATTATCAAGATAATATCTTGGCCAATACCAAAGGAGCAATAAGAACAGCCGCATTACATTATATAAATTGGATATGTTACATTTTAAAAAAAAATTGGTGTTTCTTGACATTTACAAAAAACTGCCCACAGAAATGCAATCCAATTTTTAAATGATGACCTAAAAGAAAACAAAGAAGCTCTTTAAGATGGCAATTAGTAACTCTTTGAATGTTGTTAGCTGAGAAGCAGTGAAGCCAGTAGTCAGTGCATTTTTCACCCAAATTATCGTACTGCAACACCAAATCCACAAACTTTATGATGCTCATGACTAAAATAACTTGTAATAATAAGTCTATATTTGTTTTTTTCCCTCTCTTTTGGCAAATATCTTTACTCAATATATACCCATTTGCAAATACTCCCCAACGGTACAATAAGTATTACAAACGTTATACCCAATATAATATATGACACACCTACAACATTCCTTCTGATGCAACACAATAATAGTTTATATTCAATACAATTGTTTACACTAATTGTCAGACAGCAAACAACATAGATCAACAGGTTAATTGTCAGACAAGTTAAGTTGTTGTTCTTAACTTTCACAACCCTTAAACATTAAAAACACAAAGCATGAACTGGCCAAGCCAATCAAGCTTCAGCTTAACTTGATCTTTTTATCAAATTTTTGGTTTTATTAATAGTCAAATTGGTAGGGATCATTAGCTAAAACTATTTTTTGTTTTGGACAAGCTTTTTATGTTAGGTTTTAACAGCATTTAACTGCTTTAAAAATTAATCCAGAAAATATAATCTATAAGATTTCAAGGAATATTTATATTTTAAAATAACTTTAAATAAAACTTAAAATTTATTTATAATAAAAAAACTTTGAAAAACCAAAACTTTAAATAAAACTTCAGCACTATAAAACTTTATTTTATTTTTATAATCTCAAATCTTGAAAGTGTTAATATGTGTAAAATAATAGATTTGCTCCTACTAAATCGAATAAGTCAATTTACCAGATCAAACTACTCCTACAAATGGCATCTTTATTTTTAGTGGACATTTTGTGGACATTAAAATTTGGGTTGAAAAATGAGAAATAATAATAAGAAAGCTTGAACATGCAGCAGTAGGTCTTGTTTTAAAGCATAAACCAGCGTAGCATTTACATATGCGCTAATTAATTTAGCGTAAGGTAAATTAATTAACACATTTAAATGCAAATTAATTAAATTTTAAAAAATGGTAAGCCATTTCACATAAGCCATTTTTATTCATTTTTTAATATTTAAACAAGTCAAAAGGAATCATTTAAGCAGTATGATAAAAGAAGTAATTAACATTATAATAACCACTTAAAAAGTTTGAATGACAATTAAGTAAAAATGTTTGCATGACAATTACATTTGATACTTGCGCTATTTACAAATGTAATAACATGAAAAAATAAATAAAATTTTATTTTTTATTAATCTAACTTTTCTGACAAAAATGTTCAGTAAAAAAAAAAAAAAGAAGTTATATGTGCATAAAAAAAGAAATTATAAAATAAACATAACAAAAAAATTTTAATTTATCATCTTGCAATAGCAAGAATATTTATTTAGACAATTTCTCATAACAAACAATAACAAAAATAATTACGAAATTTAAAAAAAATTATAAGCTAAATAATAGTACAAGTTAACTTTTATTTTAATATTAGTGTCACCTTTGATATTTTAAATTATGTTTGTTTGTTTTGTAATAATGATTGATTTTATTAACAAAAAAATAAAACATTAATTATTACAAACTTTAAACAAAATCTTATAAAAAGTTTTTTTTTTTATATAATTAAAAAAAAAAAACTTTTTCTATGGATTTTTTTTAATTTTTTAGCTTGAATTTACACTTGAAGCAATATTGCTCTTGCAATGTCTTTTTTGTGACAAACAAATCTTTTGCAACAAGTAATATTTTTTGTTTGGTAATAATTTTTTAAAAGTAAAAAATCATTATTTGCAGAACCGCAATTTTATGAAATAGTGAAAAAAAAAAAAAAGTTTATGTATTTTTATTCATTTATGTTTATAAATGCCGAGAAAAGAAAGATATTAACTTATGTTAAATGTTAATAAAAAATGTAATATTAAATTTAATAATAATAAAAAAAAAAAAATTGAAACAAAATAGACATTCAACAATATGTACATTTACAAAACAACACTTCTACATTTGTTTTTCTTAATTAAACTTGTTTTGCTGTAATTTATTTTATTGCAGTAGCTTAAAAATTTTATGACGTCAAAATGACAAAGAGCTAATGTGCTAAGCCATTTTTTATTTAAAGCAAGGCTTGCAATAGAATAATAAAAAGCGTTGGTATGATTTTATTATTTAAGAGAGATATTTGGATGATAAGATAAAGCAGAGAATCTATTATGTGTGGTCAGCAGGTGCCAAGATCACAGAACTTTCTTCACTTTTAAAATCAAGATTTTTATTGTTAATAATTAAAAGTAAGTGTACTAAACATAAATGAGCTTTGGATTGCAAATAGTTAGTGTATAAAAAGCAAAAAAAAGGTGGTTTGTACATTGATAAATTAGAGATGTTAGAAAAAATAAATTAGAAATTATGTATGTGCACTAAAGAAATAAATATAACAAATTCTTTACTAACCATTCTAAAAAAGATAATCTAAAATTTTAGTGTTCTCTTGCTGGCTCGGAGCTTAGGAAAGACTGACCTAACAGTTGTTGTGGCACTGGTTATTACTTAATCTTTGCAGGGTGGCCACTCAAATTTCAAAATGAAATTCCATGACTTCTGCATGACTTTTCCATGACTCTTCATAAACTTTTATAATAAACCACTAACCAGTAAATTATTCAGTATTTGCCATACACTAAGCGTTTGATAGAAAATTCTGAAATCACGCCTGATAAAAACTTTTTTTCTTTTACTTCTCTGATAATCTATTACTTACACTGCAAAAATATCTTTTTCAAAAAGGACTTAGATAAGACCTATTAGTATTTTTCTTTGCATCCTAAAAATGTCACAAGCAGAAAAAAATAAAGATCATTTTAAAAAGTTCCACGAATTTTCCATGACTTTCAAAGAAAATTTAGGAATTCCATGACTTTTTCTATGACCAAATAAAATTTCATGACATTTCCATGATTTCCAAGACTAGTGGCCACCCTGCTTTGGTATAAATCAGATCATATACAGGCAGAGCACAATTTTTCAGTCTTCAAAAAAAAAATTTTTTTGATTTGTCTGTCTCTTACTCTTTGAAAATTCTTCAAATTGTTAAGGGAATTTAAAAAACAATTAATTAAAATATTTTAAAAATAAAACAGCGAAACTAATATGATACACAAAAAATTTAATATAAAAAAAAAAAACATTAAAAAATACTTTTACAACTTTAAGAAAATAAGGGGTAAACTATAGCTTCATATTATAAAAAAATATGTCTTTTTGTCAAACAAAATCATATTATTAAAACGTTTACAAATACTTAACAAAATCAAATTTTATTAAAGTCTACAGCTTTCATTAAAGCTGCAATTTAAATGTTTAACACTTGTTTCTAATTTAATAACTATTTCTAACAAACCTTTTCTGCATACACCCATACAACAGGTGAGTCTTTATTACAAGCTTGAAATAACAAAGTTCCTTTCCAAATTAGCACTGAATAATATTGATAAAAATTGTAGCCCAAAAAAAAGATGATACAGAAAGTCATTATCAAAAAAAGATACTTTGGAAATGCATAGCCACAATGTGCATTAATTGTGGGTTTCTTAAAATGCGAGTAGTCAGAGAAAGATCCAATTTTTTTATACATTTTCTAAACAAACATACCTGAAATAAAAAATATCATTTTTTTATCTATTCATTTTTTTAAATTTTGTTTTAAACTTTAAAAAGTTTTTATTTTTTATTTTCGGGTCATTTATGTCAAATTAGCAAAAAAACCACAAAAATCTCATCCCATGTATTGGAATTTGCTTATTTTTATATATGTTATTAGGTTGATAAAAACAAGGAAAATCTGTTAGGAACCTTTAACTCCTTACGATTCTTGAGATATTCGCAACAAGCTATTTTGTCATTGATACAAAACTTTGTCAGGCTATTTGTCAGTCGATGTAGCAGCACTCCCTTGCGAGTCAGGCTATTTGTCAGTCGATGTAGCAGCACTCCTTTGCGAGTCAGGCTATAAGATAGTTGATGTAGCAACACTCCCTTGTAGCAGCAGGCTATAAAATAGACGATGTAGCAACACTTACGCATGTTTTAAAAATGTTTTTTAATAAAACAAAATTAAAAACACCACTAATTAAAAAAAACTTTCTAGCCATTATTATTGTGGTTTTTTTAAAAAACAACAAAATTTAATGTACTTCCGCATTAATTTAATTGCTTTGACATTTCGACGACAATAAAATACAGCTTAAGAGACAAGGTAAAAAAATTGTAGTCAAAAGAGACTTTTTTTACCATAAAAGTCTCTTTTGACTACACTATAAGGATATATATATATATATATATATATATATATATATATATATATATATATATATATATACACATATATATATATATATATATATATATATATATATATATATATATATATATATATATAATAATAATAATAGAGTTTGATTATTTGAAAAAATACAACTTTGTGATGGTACTTGAAGTTTCATGCCCTTTGGCAATCAAACAATTTTCTAATTAAAAATTTGTTTTGACGTCAGAACTCATTCTATTGCTTTATTATTGTTTTTTCTGTTAATTTTGTATTTTGAATTTTTTAACGGTTTTTTCTTGATTTAAAAAAGAATAATATGGCTGATGATTGCCGAAGGGCATGAAACTTCAAGTACCATCACAAAGTTGTATTTTTTCAAATAATCAAACTCTATTATTATTATCATTATTGATCTATTTTGTAAACACTTACACTATATTGATCACTCTTAAACGAACAAGAGACTTTTGTATATTAATTTGGTACAATAAAACAACAATATATATATATATATATATATATATATATATATATATATATATATATATATATATATATATATATATATATATATATATATATATATATATATATATATATATAATAGTTAATTTAACTGTTGATAGTTGAAAAATAGGGTTATTTGAGATTGATGGCATTTTTTTTGTCAATTTGACAAGTTTATAATGTTTGCATTTTTAGATAGTTGGGTTTAATGGTCTTATATGCTGTTAATTTTAGATCAAAACAAAGTGTTAGAAAAATTTACAAGCATCTCAAAATGGCTGAAAATTGGACATTTTAGGCGAGTGGACATTTTGCTTTTAGATGTATTTGAGTTCTAAACTGCAACAAGCTGCCTACATTTTGCCCATTTATTGCAGACAATAGTACCTAATCAAAAAACTCATCTGTAAAGACTTGTGGATGAATAGAAAAATGCTACAGTTTGTTTCATTTTTGCATATTTTAGCAATTTTATGATTTTTTCTAAAGTTGAGGTCATAATTTTATATCGATAAATATATATAAGATATCGAGAGTTGAATGTATTTAGATTTACTAATAACTAAAAATTTGTAAATAAAAAACAACGCATACTTAACAACCTAAGACATAAAACAGTGACATTGAAATGCATATATTTATTAAAGTTTCATTTTGTGCTTGACTGTTTTATCCTATAAATATTTATCTTTATAGTCTGACAATGAGATAGTCCTTTATCAGATTATAAAACCCTATTTTTATTTTAAAACTTTATTACTATCTAAATTCACTACTACTAAATTATCGTTTAGAAAAAATTAATTAAAAAAAAAAAACTGCATTCGCGAATGATAAAACAAAATACCGAAATCAAAAACAATATCTTGTATCAAGTGATAATAGTATTAAAAAAGTCATTAAGAATATACATTTATAACAAACTATTATATTAAAACATAATTAATAAAACAATTGTTTTATTAAATATGTTTTTTAAACATAAAGTTTTTTAAATAAAATATTTAAATAAATGAAACACCTTAAATTTTAGAATATAGAGAAACCTCAGAATTTAAGCTATTTCATAAAACTATATACGGCGTATTTTTGTTGTTGTTGTTGTTGATAATAATCTGCTTTTTTTCGTCAGATCCATAAAATAAAAACTCTTTTAAGTTATGGTTTGTTTATTTTTAATTTTCTTCTTAAATTAGTTTCATAAGTTTAAAAAAGTCTTATAATTTTATTTACTAAAAACAATTATTTTATTAATTATTATCAATTGAAATGAAACAGAAAAGTTACACGTTGCCATAGACAAAAGGTGCGCATTTCGAAAACAACAATTGGACATTCCGCTAAATGTTTTAAATATATATATATATATATATATATATATATATATATATATATATATATATATATATATATATATATATATATATATATATATATATATATATATATATATATATATATATATATATATATATATATATATATATATATATATATATATATATATATATATAATGTTTAAATTTTATGAATAAATGTTTTACTGTTAAATATGTTATATAAAAGTTTTATGAATAAACAATTCATTGTTTAACTTTTATAACTTATACTCGTTAAAGAAAAAAGTAAGTACCATCAATTATATTCGAAACCACTTTCTCATATTAATTTTGGTAAACCTTGCAGGCTTGGACTGGGCCGCCGGGTTACCAGGAGATTCCCGGTGGACCGGTTGCCCCTAAAAAAATTGAGTTCATATTTTTAGTTAAGCTGCATTTTATTTCCCTTTGATTATTATAATCAACGGTAAATTGAAATGTAAATAAAAACAAAATAACTTTTATTTTTGTCTATAATTACACCTTATTACAGGCTAATACATCTGCTTGCTATTTAAATAAATTTTGGCGGCCATCTTTAGCTGACCGAAAGTAGTATTATATTAACGTAGACAACTTAAATTAGTTAACAAATGTTAAACTGTTATTTTATAATACAATTTTATATAGCTTTTAATTTGTTGTTTTTTGTGTATTGTTCACTGACAGAAAAATCACAGATTTTATTGATAATATTTTGCTGTAATAAATTATGTTACTATTTTTGTTTGCTGCACTATGTATTTCGTTGATTGCACATCGAAATTTTGTCGGCAAGTATTATGTATATGAATTTAATAGAGGATTTAGGCAAAAGCTAACATAGGCTGCAGCCTATGGGAGACACGAGGCCCTGAGACGCCACAAGAAAAAAGAAAGGAAAATAATGAATAATAAAATTAAAATAAGAAATAAAAAGTAAAGTCGTAAAAAGTAAAAAAAATTAAAGCAAGCTTTAATTTTTTTTACTTTTTTACGGTTTCATTTTTTTTAGTTTTTTACGGTTTCAATTTGTCTAATATGTATGCAAATGTTTAGTATTCGAAATTCGAATACTTTTTATCATTATTTTGTAAATAAATGATGCAAATAAATTTAGAGCAAAAGCTCTTTTAGATTCATTGACAAGTTTTAAACTTATTTTGATGACGCAATTGTTTTTAAAAATATTTGAGCACACAAGGCCATCGTCTGAATATTTGCAAACAACTGGAATGGATATACTAAGAGCCTATAAGATTACTCAAGACATTATTAATGAATTAAGCAAAGTAGATAGAAATTTTGATTCCATTTTTCAAGCAGCTACACATTTCTCAGAACTTGCAAACACTTAACTAGGAAAAAGGAATCTCGACATTGAAGTTCAGGTTTGAAAAAGAAAAGAATAAGAGCATACCAACTACTTGAAAGTGCGAATGTTACAACTACTTTCGTGTCAATGTTCACAACATGGTAATGGATCAAGTTGTTTAAAAAAGAGATTCTCTGCATGCTGATTTATCTTGTTTAGATCCAAGAAATTTTGCAGAAATTTGGAAAAAAATGTCTAGTGACGCATTGCAGAAATGAGTGATTTGCTCAGAAAATTTGATGCTAGTGTAACAAAAGATAAGCTTCAAACGGAATTATTGGAATTTGCAAGGAAATGGCAGAGTTTCAAAATAACTCTTGAAGATGAACATTTTTTGCTACTTGACACGGATGTATCTGACCCTGTCACGGACAATTTCCAACAATCTAAATTCATAGAATTTAAAACTGTCTTTACAATCCCAGAATTGGAAAACAGCGACAGCCACAGAAATAAATGCAAATCTTGTAAAAAATGTATTGTTTGTTGTTACTTTGTTCTCCAAAAGTTCAACTTGCATAGTCTTGCGTATTAAAACTTTTTTTTGGCTTACAAATATGTGTTGACATTATCCTCATCACAAGATCATTTTTAAAATTGAAATATATTTTGAGCAGATTAAGAAACTTAATGAGCCAGTCAAGTTTACAATCATTCATGCTGATGTCTTGTAAAAAGAACCTTCTTTCAAGAATTAATAACGATGCAATTATTGATGTTTTGGCATCGACTAGTTAAACGATAAAAAAGATGCAGTATAATAGTCGATATTGAATAACGGTTGTGTCAATTATTTCTACTATTTCTAGACTCCAACTTACAGTAGTGTTTTAGAAATATTTATTTTTATCAATATTAAAGCTGGGAAGTTTAAAATTTCTTTTTTATACTTTAAATACTGATAAACAATAATGCACCTAAAAATGAAAAGGTATATTTAAATATATATATATATATATATATATATATATATATATATATATATATATATATATATATATATATATATATATATATATATATATATATATATATATATATTTATATATATGTATATATATATATATATATATATATATATA